GGGTGGGGGGGGGGGGTGGGGTGGGGGGAGACAATTGCATTAGAATAGGAAGCCTACAAGCCAGATATCATCATCTTTTTTCCACATTTATATTGATGATGTATCATTTCTGTGCTTATCATTGAGCACGGAGTGACCTAAGTTAAGGAATGGCATGGTGTCATTGGCATCAAATATGACACACGAGTTTTGGCATATTAAATCTTATTCATCTTTCTGGATTAGTCAAGTAAACAATGAAGGAGAATAAAGAATGGTCCTCTCTGTGAAAGGAAACTAGTAATCTGACGGCCGTCTTATAACTGAATAATGTAAAGAAATTTATCAATCCATCATCATATAGTAAGCTGTTGTTAATTTAGCTGATCTTTTTATCTTTATGATAATGTAGAGTGAGAAGGCATTGGCCAGTGTGGATGATGCCGCCCGTCAAGCATCCTTGAAGGAAGTGCAGAAGCACAGCAAGATTTTGCTCGGGCGCTTATCCCATGGCAACGGATGTGTGAAAGCTCTCCTTCTTATCGGTATCACAGTGGCTGTCGGTGCTGCTTTTGTCTCAAAGGACTTGCAGTCCCTGGATCTCAAGAAACTGTTGGCTGTCGTCTCTAAGGACTTGCAGTCCCTGGATCTCAAGAAACTCCTGGCCGATCTCAACTTGGCTTGATACTTCCCCTCTCATTAGAGGAGGGTTGTAAGTCAAATCACCTTACCTTGCTTTGTTATATGTCTAAATTATGTTCCGGCGCAGAGAAGATAGGCGGCCCATAACAAAATGGGTAGAGATTGAGATGTTATAGGGAAAAAATAGATACAGTAGATATGATGCCTAAGTTTGTGGCCTCATTTTTACAGGGTTTGTGTTTTTTTTAAAGTTTCTATGAAACAGAACTATTTAAGTAATCAAGTTTGGTTGACTGAATTCTGTTTGGTTTTCCTTTTCCAAACCATTTTCAAATGATTTGAAATGGTTTTATATATATGAACGGAATGTAAGATGGCTATGGTTGAAAATCTTTCCCTTGACTTTTTAGCTCCTATTAGGTACAGTGGTTCGCTTATGAGAACTTGGGCCTTTTCCCTTATGTACTTTTTCTTATAGTCTGATTGGCCAAGCTTCTCCAAATCTAGAAGCAGTTTTAAAAAAAAGTTATCTTTTTTCTCAAAATTGAAGTATTTGGTCAAACTTTTAGAAGAAAAAAATATATTTTTGAGTAGAAGCAGAAACTGTTTTGGAGAAGCAGAGATTTTTTTGAAAAGTACTTTTGAGAAAAATACACTTAGCAACGCTTTTTAAAGCTTGGCCAAACACTAATTGCCGCTCAAAAGTATTTTTCAAATTAATTAGTCACACACAAATGCTTCTCACGAAAAGTGTTATGAAAAAAGTATTTTTGAGAAAAAGCACTTCTCAAAATAAGCTGATTTTAGAAGCTTGGCCAAACATACTATTAGTAGAAATGACACCAGATAGCCATTCTAAAGGGATGCTATTTAGGAATTAGTCAATGTGTCTTGAATTTAAATTTTTCCGTTTCAGGACACAAATGTCTTGAATTGTCTGAAATTATGATTTTTAGTTCAAATTTTCAGGACAAAATAAGTATTGGCTAATCCCTAAATAACAACCCTAATAATGGCTGTTCGTGCACTTCTCCCTTTTTTTTTTAAAGTTTTTGGTCGGTGTATTGGGCAATTTACTTTGTACCTATTATTTGTTTGATTTTTGATTTCTAATCTTATTTTATTAGTAGCCATGATTGGTTTTCTCCCCTTAGTTTCTGTTCTTCTTGTTTTAACTAAAGAATTAACTTTAAGTAGGATTTTAAGAGCTCTTCGTTAGAATGAGTTAGATTTTGATGAGCTTTTTGAATAATTCAATATAAGCGAACTCTAGAAACATCATACCATATGTAGTGGCTCTTACATATATATGTTCAGTAGATTAATTAGTTGATTTAATCAATTTTTTTTAAAAATTATTGAAGGTCTCCTGACGGACATTGATTTTGCCTTGAGAAGCAAAAAAACAAACTCAGTTTACGTCGGAGAACTTATTAGATAATTAAAAAAGGGAGAATTACATAAAAATACAGTCCACCTATAACATTGCAGCAGAATAACCTAGTTACAACTTTGCAAATCTGTAGCCCTTTAACAATAGGCGAAAGTTTGAAAAATAAGCATTTTTTTTTAATTATGCAGATCTTCAAGTACGAAAATTCGGTGATTTTTTATTCTTCTTCCCCAACTTTGTATATATTCCGATTCCAGCTACAAAAAATTTAAAATTCATATATAATGCAACTTGAAAACCTTAAATTTTCTTCTTTTCCAAGTTTCAAATAGCATAAATAAAAAATAAAAATTGAAAAAATTATTGCACGTTCATGATTTTGCAAATAAATCAACAAGAAAAATCGATCTATACATAGATTGAACATATAAAATTTTAGTTTTAGATTTAACTACACATGTGCATTACATCTATAATGATGTATAACTTGTATATACAATCTCTAATGATGTATATCAGAAAAATAAGACAAAGAAGAAGAAAAGAAGAAAGTGTCAAACATCCATGGATGCCTATTATACACGTACAATGTATATACACACTTATACATTAAAAATATATCTAATTTATACAATATTGTACGCATATATACACACTTATACATATTTATACAATATTGTATAAATGTGTATAAACACTACCTATACAAATTTACACAAGAAATTAAAATATATTTTGTCCATCACCACATTACAGTTTTTGGTGGTTGCTGGTGTTGAATTTTTCAGGCGAGGTTTTGGCATTCAAATCTGGGCTTCACCAGTAGCAATGGATGAAACAAAAACTAAGAGAAATAAGAAAATATGAGACGAGGTCGCTGGAGATGCTCTTTTCGGCAAGGTTTGATAGTTTTAGGCCAGATCTGATAGTTTTTGGACTGATATGCCAAATTTTATTGTGGTTCCTTAACCTATTTTTGTCAATTAACTCAAAAATTAAAATCTAATTGATATAGAATGCGAGGATTATCACGAGTGTGTACAAAAAAATTATGTAATTTTTAGGGAGAACGAAGAGAGAGACGAGTGAAGAGAGATTGAGTATGTTGGGAAAGAAGAAAGAAGAAAAGAAAAAAACCCTAGAAGTATGTCTTTAATAATGAGCTAAAGATTGAAAAATTTCTTTCAAATTAAATACAACCTGGGTCAAACCGGGTAAAGGCTTCAAACCTAGCCAATTTTTAGTTGGGCTGCTGTTCCAAGTGATTAAATACGTAATTCTTTCATTAAAAAATTAGGAGAAAATTACAAAATTAAAGAAGCATAAAATAAAGATTATACAAGTCAGTCAACCAAAATGAGGTGCTTTATTTATTCATTTATTTTCTTTCTGAGAGAGCACATTACATACAAAAAAATTGCTCAGAAGCATATTTAAGAGATTAATAAACCCTATCCCCAAAATAAGGGTCCATTTATTCTCTTTTGAGGACTTACTTTGTATTCATTCAACAACTAGTCCAAAAATTAATATTTAAAAAATGATACACAATCGATATCTTGAACTTCAGGCACCTGTTTCATATTCTTGAATTCTCGTATACACTCTTTAAGTGAGGGTTTTTTAGTGTAGTAAAAGAAATCCTTAACTTTACGTACATTTCCATTAGTTTCATTGGTGTGAGTAAGAACAACTCTAAATGTTTGATAGTAATGATCTTCACATGGAGTTTCACTGCAATCTTCATCTTTATCACCTTCTCCCATTTCTATCACACAGATATCATTCTTGTGATCTCCTTCTACCGGCACGCTGTAATATCCGGTGGCGTTCGTCTGCCAGGGCCTAGCGTATGTGACCATTTTAGTTTTCGGGTTCGTGCATCTAACCATCACACCGGCACCTGTAATTTTTCGTAAGCGGTGTCACTATATTTTTAAAAAAAATGAACCAAGTTAAGTCAAAGTGCATGGAGTTTTTATAACTCACAGTCTCACCTCAAAGAATTTTCAACCCTTTTTGAAAATTGTCAAAAATAGCCTCATTAAGTTATATTTTGGGATATTTACATGAATAGCCGATCATATTTATTTACTTTTTTTTAGCCATATACAATGATTTTACATAATTATACACATATAATACATGAATTATACATATATTATACCTCCACCGGCTATTTTTAATTTAAGCGATTGGGTGTGCTGTTATTTGGGTTAGTTCTTCTTATATTTAATGTTGTGTTGATACATGAAGGACTAAAAGGTGTATGTTTAAATTGGTAGAAATGACACCAGATAGCAACTCTAAAAGGCTGTTATTTAAGAAAGTCAGTGTGTCATGAATTTCAGTTTTTCAGTTCAACTTTTTAGAACAAAAATGTTCTGAATTCTTCTGAAGTTAAAATCATATATATCCAATATTTCGACTAGTGGAACAATGAAAACATATGGAAAATTAGCTAGGCACTAGAAAATATTTCGCTCGATCCATTATAATTCGTCTTCAAAATTTTTGCACATCTCTTAAGAAAGATATTTAAAAGCTTTAATCATCCGAATAATTGTCTAAACTGTTTTTTTATTTCTCATTATATGTCTCATTTAATTTAAGGAACACTTCACCAATTGAAACAGTAAATACAGAAACATGACATCACTGAAATTTAGAAACTAATTCCATGATAAACAATCAATAGAACATACTTTTATTTATTTATTATGTATAAACTTTAAAAAAATTCTTTGTTGAATTTGAATAATTGGAAAAAAAAATGAAAACCCAAAAATTGGAGCAGAAGAAAAATTTAAGTAATACCTTTTAAGGGCTTCATAAGGTTGTTTTTGAATATTGAACGACAAGGATCACAATAAACTCTTCCTTCTACAAAGAAATCAGGTTTTTCATCAGAAGCTTGTGTAAGCCCTAGCAAGGAGAACAAGCAAATGAAAATAACAACTGATTTTCCCATTTTTCTTTCTTTTTTTTTAATTTCTTTTATCTCTCTTTTTTTTTTTGGACTTTCGTTATTTCTTTCTGTAGGTTACAATGTTAAAGGGATGCATTATATATACTTGTATTCTGATAGTTATTTTTGTTAGGTTTCCTCCTATTTTAAATCTTATTCTTCATGTTTTCCCTTTTTCTCTAGCATACACAGGCACGTGTCGATAGCAGCCGAACCTTTGCTTGGTCCATACCACGAAACAAGCAAAGTTCTAAAGGGTTGTTTGGTTGGAAAACGAGTTATTTCAGGATTAATTATCTCGAGATTAGTTATTTCGGGATTGTTATCTCACCCTCGCATCTGGATAAAAATAACATTATAATTTCGGGATTAGTTATACCGCGATTTTATCCCAACCAACCAAACGTGAAATCCGCGGTATACCCACTGAAAATATCAGTTAACACCATATACAATTAAAATATTTATTTTACTCTGTATACCTACTTTATAAAACTATTTTACCATGTATATCTATTGTATTCTAAAATATAATACTGTATATTTCAAATTAGAATATTGTGTATTTAATTTGGATATTGTATTCCAAATTAGAATATTGTAGCATGTTTAGTTTGAATATTGTATTCCAAATAAAAAATTATTGTATATTTGCATTGTATACTGTATTCCAAATTAAGACATTGTAGTATATTTTTGATTTGGATACTATATTCCAAATTAGAATACTGTAGTATATTTTGTTAGAATAATATGGTATGTTTAGTTTGGATATTATATTCTTCATTAGAATATTAGGGTAAGCTAGGTTTAGATTTTTCAAGTTAGAATATTGTGGTATCTTTAGTTTGAATAATACATTCCAAATTAAAACATATTGTATTCTTCATTAGAATATTAGGGTAAGCTAGGTTTAGATTTTTCAAATTAGAATATTGTGGTTTCTTTAGTTTGAATAATATATTCCAAACTAAGAAATTATGGTCTGTTTAGTTAGAATATTGTATTCCAAATTAGAATATATAGTATGTTAGATTTGGATTGTATTCCAAAATAGAATATCGTGATATATTTTAGAATATATGGAGGTATACCGTGTAATATTTTTGGGATATTTGATGTAATTTCAAAACTTACGTATATTATGAAGGTGAGTTTTATAAACGGATATATCATATAACTTCCCCAATTTAATTCAATGATAAAAGTTGGGGGAAAGAGTGATTAGTATGATTAACTCACTACGAGAAATTAGCTAATTTTTGACCGTCGGAGACCGGACTCTGGTCTTGCTTTAAGAATTCTTTTTAACTAACTTTAATATCGAATTATCTTAATCGATTCAAACTGAAATATGTATTTTTCGGTGCTTGTAATGATAGAATAAGATGTGTTACTTGATTTATGATCCAGAGTCCATATACCATACTCAGATGCTATAGATACTAGGGATATTTTTAAAAATAGCCAGATTTACAACTGGTCGTTTAAAAATAGCCCAATTTTAAAAGTAATCGAAATTTAGCTACTTTTGATGTAAAGATAAATCTGAGCGAAAACACTGTTCAAAACCCGGAAAATACTCCAGTATATTATGCTGGAGTTCCAGCATAAGTATACTTGAACTCCAGCATATTATACTGGAGTTCCAGGATAGTATGCTGGAACTCAAGCATAATATGAAGGAGTTCTAGCATAAATACACTAGAACTCCAGCATAATATACTGGAGTTCCAGCAAGTATAATGATCCAGTATAATATACTGGAGTTTGGAGCACCAGTGCTCCAGTCTCCAGTATATTATACTGGAGCCAGCAAAATATACCGGTCCAGCATAATATGCTGGAGTTCATACACAAGTGCACCGAACTCCAGTATATTATGCTGGACCGGTCTCTATTGCAGCAAAACGATGGCTATTTTTCATTGACTTGGTAAACGCTGGCTATTTTTGATTGACCAGTCCGAAAACTGACTATACCGTGAAATTTTGGCATAGATACTATAATTAAGAGGACTATCGAGTGGAGTTGGACTATATGATT